AGCATTGTATTGACATGTTACATGTTATGTGTCAACCTTGCATTTAACCACAATAACTGTGCTTCTTCTCTAAAACAGAGACAAGCTAGTCTTTTTGGAAACCACTCGGACCCTTTTTCTGTAGAGCGTGAGATAGCCAGTGTTGGCCAGGCCACCAGCCAGCGCCCTCTGCAGATGGCAGAAGGAGTCAACAACAACAGCGACACAAGTCATAGGTCTGTGTGTCTGTGCTATGTTAACATTCTATTACGATTGTCAGATATGGAGCACTGATCCTGACAGATTAAGAAATAAATACAGATAATAAATTCTCAAATAAATAAACATCCAATTAAATACACAAAAAAATTAATTAAATAATAAAGTAATAAAAAAAAATAAAAGTAGTAATTAAATTATACAATCTCTTTTAATTAGCTTCTTTGTTCACCTTTGTAATAAGTACCTTATTTATTTATTGTCCAACTTTATTTATTAATTATTTCTTTTTTTAATGTATTTATTTATGTGTGTGTTTTAATATTTTTGTCTGTTTTAGTCTAGCCTGTTTATTTCCCCTTAGGTTATAAATTTCTGTCTGCTCTTTTTACATTTCTCTATGCATTTCTATCTCATTATGCAAATGAGGAAGGGCTGTGTCTCAAGGTGTCAACTTCTCACCTATTGGTGGACCAGTCAGATGGCAGAGGTCATCTCTAAACTCACACATCAACAAGCCTTGTTGGCTTCCTTTAGCGAATTGAATTGATTAGCAACTCTATTTGAAGACTATACTACCAGCAATGTCTTTTTTTAAGTGGACGCTCTGACAGACAGTGTTTCAGTTTGAGGCATGCAAGAACACAGAACTGTGGTAAAATAAGCCAATGTTTGAGAAGCACACAGTCAGCTAGAAGCAGCTAAATTTGGAGTGCACACATATTCGATCCCTTGTGGTAAAGGCAGTTTTAACAGACCAGAACGAGCTGATAGGCAGGTTAGAGACTTTGTCAGTTTCTCTCTTTACAAGTGTTACAGTCTGAGAATCTTATCTGAAGAGACTATCAAATCTCAGTAGTACGTGATACGAGCACCACATACAACATAATTTATCAAATTACGTCAGACAGAAATTAACACAAAGATACACATGTCACAACGTCTGGTTATTAAAATAAGGTGTTAACAAAACATGTTACATGTGTTCATTAAAAGTGAAAAAGCACTAAATGTTAGGGAAATAACTTTCTTCTTTAATTTTGGTTTGCTGGGAAAACATTAAATAATTCCTGACAATAACTAGGCTATCACATTTGAGTTCAGGATAACTCTGATTACATAAAGATTTTAAATTGCATTAAAGCATCTTAATTGAAGTAACGATTTTGAGATTGAAGTACAGTTGTACATTGAAATAATACAACAAATAAAACTGTTTGATTATGTTCTGTCCTTTTGGTTTGCAATATGCAAGTATTAAACTCAAAATTCTGGGTACCTACAGGTTACAGTGCTGGTAAAGAGAACTGAACAGTTGACAATAAACAATGACATCTGGCAGCTATTAATTCATTAGTGTTTTTCTAAATTGTAGTGCTTCCAAAATATATACTAATTTCAATAGATATAATTGATTTTGTCCAAGGACTCATTATGCATTTCTTCTACTTCATTGCATGATTTAGAATAATAAGATATTCTTATATAGAATAATAAGAATAATAAAGACCATTTAATCCCCTCTGTACCGTAAAAATGTTTTTAATTTAGACAGGCTGGAGCAGAAAACAACTTACCTTTCTCAAGTTATACAGTAATGTAATAATGTCACATATGTGGATGAAGGTGGATCAAACACAGCTAATCTTAAATGTTAAAGTAGAGAGGTGGATGCTAGTCTTTTCGACTACTCAAAGCGCTTTTACACTACATCTCCATTCACCATTCACACACATTCATTCACTGAGTGCTCAAACAAAAACTAACATTCACACGCAAGCGGAACAGCCACCAGAGGCAATTCAGGGTTTTGTATCAGTAAGGATACTTTGATATGAAGCCTGGAGGAGCCCGGGATTGAACCGACAACCCTCCGATTAACCGGCAACCCGCTTTACCCCCTGAGCCACAGCTACTCTGATAATAACTTCCTCTTTAGTGGTTTTGCCAACCCCTGGATAAGTATGGAGGAACAAGTGAGGAAGTGTGAGTTCAGATCACTGGTGGACTGAAACTGATCATTGTAACATACCAAAGTTTCATTTCATTCACATTAGTAGAAAAAGTTGTCCGCGTCTAATGCTGATTTGAATTATAACAAAGGCTAACTTAAAATACTTGACCTTTTACTGTAGTTCTGCATTACATTTTTCCCTCTGGAGCAACCAGGGGTTAAGTGTCTACAGTGGGGGATTGAACCCAGGTCTCACATACCAAAGGTATGTGTCTTATCCATTGCACCACCACGACTCATCATGTTAAGATGTTTATTTAGATATTTCAACACATGGCCTGATAGGCCGTATGTAAGATTCAGACTACTTTTTAAGAAACTTCAGGATGTTCAACTGAGCTACAGTGAACAGGCAAATAAAGAAAGCATAGAACACAGTCATGTGAAACACAGGACTGAATAAATAAATATTATATTCAATCAAGAAGTGATGTCATCATGTTCACACAACAAATTGCCTATTTTAGCGCTTCACCTTTCCTTCTTCCTTTGTGCATGTACTGTATACTGTTGTTATTAGTATAGAGACACACAGGAAATGGGGGTCCCTGCCTATAATGGAACCAGGTTGCTGTGGTTACATAGTGTCGTAAGCCATCAGGACATCCCCTGTTTATTGTGACCATGATTTGCTCTGTAGTTTGCTTTGATGTTACATTTTCATGTTTCAAGTTTCTTTCTTTTCCCTCTGTGTTCTCAGCCGTCATTAACAGCAGCCTGGAGGAACTGGCCTCTGACCAGGAGGAAAGACTAGTGTTCACCATGAAGTGCTACCACATGTAACACCCGAAACACCGCCTGCTGAAGAAAGACGTTCCTCATGAAATGATTCAACACTGGGCTAGTGTGAACACTTCGCACTGTTTTTGCTGTTTTCAAAAATATCTAAAAGATTTCTTACAATTCGTCAAATGTTTTGGTAAATTCTGCTATTTTGATCCATTGATTGATATTGACATACTATCACCTTGTGACTTTGACTGTGTTTCAGTGTGTTTGATTAAAGTATGATCAAAGTCTGAATGCAACAGCATCTGCGTCTTCAGTGTTGGCATTTGAAGTAACTCTTAAGTCGGGTAGTAGAGCCCTGCTGCAGCAGTGAACTTTTTAAAAGGCCTCACCACAAACAGTTACAGATTCTGTCATCTTCCCTCAGGGGGCAGGGCACGAAGCACATTATAGTTATGTTGCCAGATGCGCGGGCCCACCAGGGGCACGGGAAGGCGTAAAGAAGATTCGATTATGGGTGGGTTTGTTAGCGACAGTTTGGTATTCGACTGGAATATAGCAGCCCAAATTCCTAACATCAGGGTAGATGAACTTGGGGGCATTAGCACTTCCTGTTAACATCAATTACTCACCAATACCAACTTTTAGAGGCCCTAAATAAGTATACATTTCTGTCATAATAATATTTAGTTATTATATTGTATATTTCTGTGGATAGAAATGTTTTGCTATGTAAATATTGCATGTGATTGATTGATATCTGTTAACTGTGGTTTGTCTCTTCGAAGGGGCTTCCTGTATAAAGCCAGGGTAGAGGCTCCTCTCCAGAGTCCAGCGTGGGCCTGGAAAAGCAGCATGTGCTAGAGCCGTATAATCAGGGGCCTACTCTTCGTCATTTTCCTTTTGCTCGTTTGACATACATTTGAACAGTTTTGTAATTAGTTTGTCTTTGTTTTAAAATTTTTTCTACATTTCACATTTGCACAACTTCCCTTTACACTTAACTGATGGCCGCAGCAAAAGGTAAATCCATGTGTCCTACTTCCACCACTGAGACAGTTCCTACAACAGCTAAGACAGGTAGTGACTGTCATAAGCTTTTAAATAAAGGGAGGAATAACCAAGCAGAAACAGCACAGGATTACCGACAAAGTCCACCAGACGCGGCCGTAGTGTGTCCAAAGTGCGTCCGTGACGCAGCTCTCCATTCCGCAGGGAATGGGTAACTAGTCTATTTTTGAGAGAGAGAGAGCTGTGAAGAAGGTAGTTGGAGCACAGAATGACAAATTACTAACAAGTCAATAACGTGGGGCAGGCTACACACTCTGCTGCTTTAACGCATCTGAGACGCATCCAGTGGATGTTGACGCCGGGCAGAGGATGGAACAAACCATAGCACAGCAGAAACGCAGCACAGCCAGAGTCAGTGGACTTTTGAAGTTAAGAGTTATTTCTCTTTCTGTTCATCTTTACAATATGAATAATTACATCTGCACTAATCAAGATGTTTATCCTAACAATGGATCAAAGAGCGTAATGTTAATGGGATTTCTTGTGTTGGGAATTAGGGTTTAAATGGCATCAAAAGTTAAATATTATAATTATTACTATTATTTAATAATTAATTATATAATCAGGTGACACATTCTGTTTCATATCAAGCCAAGGTGAGCCTTGTTTTATCACAGACCTTGCTGACCCAAAGAGTTGGCCTTTCTCCCATATAAAGGAAGGACAACACAGCTATTGATGTTTAGATAAGAACCCCTGCATAAACCCAAGCATACATACCAAACTTAAAATGTTTTTCTGGGACCATTCCTGGCCACTCTTGCTGTAAGGGTGTCACTTGTTGACACTTTCCAGGAGGACCACGGGCCATTATCCTGTAGTCCTGCACACATCAAAGGCAGACACCCCCTTTTCTTGCCATGCTTCTACCACACGAGAGTGGTCAGAAGCCATAAAATTGAGACTTCAACATACACCCCACAAATGCTGCCCACTACCTGGGTCGAGCTGAAGTGCAAACTGATAAGAAGATCAACAGACATCTAAAGTGCCTGGCTGAAGAAGAGGACACAAGCTCAAATTCGTTTTATGAACAAAGAATGTCCCTTTCACTATAAACCTGTCTTATTTACTTTGTTCTAGTTCAATAGTTACTTTTTTAATTTAGGTAGTGGCCCTCTCCCCTTCAATTTTGAGTATCTTATTTACCCTGTTTAGAAACTATGTTGAAAGCTAAAGAATCATAGGTTTAAGTTCATTGGAAGTGCTCTTAACTTCATCTCCTTGTGCTCATCTATTTATTGTGTTTATTGTTTAACCTTATGTCATTCTTGAACAATTGTCTTATATTTTCTCATTAAGAAGGTTTAACCATCAATATTGTCTTGGAAATATTATTGCCCCGGCCTTTCTGTATGGAGTTTGCATGTTCTCCCCGTGTCCCCGTGGGTTCTCTCCAGGTGCTCCGGCTTCCTCCCACTGTCCAAAGGCTAGGTGAATTGGTGTCTCTAAGTGTGAGTGATTGTTTGTCTATGTGTAGCTCTGCGATGGACTGGCGACCTGTCCAGGGTGTACCCCGCCTTTCCCTAAGTTGGGATTGGCTCGCCCCCCGCGACCCTGTAAGCAGGATAAGCGGTTGACGATGGATGGAATTTTAACAGTTCTGATCGTTAAGGACAATTAACCTCTTATCTAATGCGTAGAAATTAATTCAATTTTCAATTCAATAAAATTTTATTTATATAGCGCCAAATCACAACAACAGTTATCTCACAGCACTTTTATAAAAGAGCAGGTCTAGACCATACTCTGTGATGTTATTTATAGAAGCCCAACAATTCCCACCAAGAGCAAGCACTAGGCGACAGAGGCAAGGAAAAACTTCCTTTAAGAGGCAGAAACCTCGAGCAGAACCATGGCTCAGGGTGGGCGGCCATCTGCCTCGACCAGTTGGGGGTGAAGGAAGGGGGGGGGGGACTACACAATATACACACAGAGGTACAGACAGTAAAGGTGATGTTGCTATAGACTAAATGAAAAATGGTACAGATTTTTATATTAGTGTTAATGATAATAATCGTAATGTTAATGATTATAACAACAACAATAGGACTAGTAACAATAGTTGTAGCAGAGGGTGTCGAGCAGGAACACGGGGGCAGCGGGTGACTTGCAACCACAGAGCCAGAAACACCTGCAGGAAGTGATAGGAGGGATAAGAGAGGGACGAGAAAGCACAAGACTAAGGGGAGAAAGGGGAGAAGTTGAGTTAGTAACATGCATTAATGGGATGAGGTTGCATACAGAGGGAGAAAGTGGGAAGTCCCCCGGCAGTCAAGGCCTATAGCAGCATAACTAAGGGATGATTCGGACTCACCTGAGCCAGCCCTAACTATAAGCTTTATCAAAGAGGAAAGTCTACTGTTAAATGTAGAGATGTCTCTGCCTCCTGAACCCAAACCGGAACCTGGTTCCACAGGAGAGGAGCTTGATAGCTGAACGCTCTGGCTCCTAGTCTACTTTTGGAGACTCTAGGAACCACAAGTAACCCTGCATTCTGGGAGCGCAGTGCTCTGGTGGGGTAGTAAGGTACTATGAGCTCTTTAAGATAAGATGGTGCCTGACCATTAAGAGCTTTGTAGGTAAGAAGAATGATTTTAAATTCTATTCTGATATTACTGGAAGCCAATGCAGAGAAGCTAAAACAGGAGAAATGTGATCTCTTTTCCTGGTCCCTGTCAGAACACGTGCTGCAGCATTCTGGATCAGCTGAAGAATCTTAACGGACTTTTTTCGAGCAGCCAGATAATAGGGAATTGCAGTAATCCAGCCTAGAAGTAACAAATGCATGGACTAGTTTTTCTGCATCATTTTTAGAAAGGATGTTCCTGATTTTCGCAATATTACGTAGGTGAAAAAAGGCGGTCCTTGAAATTTGCTTAATGTGAGACTTAAACGACATGTCCTGATCAAAGATAACTCCAAGATTCCTCACAGTGTTGCTGGAGGCCAGGGGGATGCCATCAAGGGAAACTATATCTTTAGATAATGCTTCACGGAGGTGCTTGGGGCCCAGAACAATAACTTCAGTTTTATCTGAGTGTAACATGAGAAAATTACAGGTCACCCAGGTTTTAATATCCTGAAGGCACATTTGAAGTTTAGCTAACTGATTAGTTTCATCTGGCTTGATCGATAGATACAACTGAGTATCATCTGCATAACAATGAAAGTTTATGGAATATTTCCTGATAATATTGCCTAAAGGAAGCATATATAAAGTGAAGAGGATTGGTCCGAGGACAGATCCTTGAGGAACTCCATGACTAACTTTGGCATGCATGGAGGACTCATCGTTAACATGTACAAACTGAAATCGATCTGATAAAAAAAACCCCATCTGGATCAAGTTTGGGCTTTTTCAGAAGAGGTTTAATTACAGCTACTTTAAAGTACTGTGGTACATAGCCTGTTGATAGATTGATTGTGTCTAGTATAGAAGTGCTGACTAAGGGTAAAACTTTAAGCAACCTAGTCGGGATGGGGTCTAAGAGGCAGATTGATGGTTTAGATCAGTGGTTCTCAACCTTTTTTGGGCCAGCGCTCCCCTATGCATTATCCAGGTCCCCTACCGCCCCCCCATGAAAAAAGATGTTTGCTATTTGCCCTGAATGTTGTTGTTTTTGTTTTTTTATTGTTACTATTGTTATTAAAAACACAGAAAAGGTAACAAAAGAAGATTTTGAGCATTAAACACTTAATTTCCTGCATTCTGGTGAAAATTTCTCCTCCAATTTCTGCCTTTTCTGCACCAATTTTTTGTGGAAATGTCTAAAATTTCAGGTGGCAGGTGACAATTCAAAATATATAATTATAATAGAATATAATCTTCTAGCTTAGCTTTTAAATATTTTTCTCCTGTAGATCAACTTATTTAATATCATCCCTGCTGAGTCAACACACATGATTAAGTCTTACCACCTCTTTTGTGGGGAAGTAACCTTTTTAAATGTGTTTGTGGCCCCTTTTCATCTCAGTAATAAATTAATCCGTTTTAATTCAGTTATTGACTGGACTTTATTAGCTCATCTGTGTTTCCCACAGAATGACTAACTGTGGCGCAGTTACAGCGTGCCAACCTCGAAAATCCAGCTATATTCTAACATTAACTAAGCTCTCCTTATTAGCTAGGCTAGGTTTACAATCCCCAACAGAGCAAGACAGGGATTCAGTTTTTAACGTTACATTTTTATAGCCTACTGAAACTACTGTATATGTCCGCT